CCCGTTTTAATTTGGGTAGTGTTAAACATAAAATCACACAGATAAAAGCAGCGAAGGTTTGAACTCCTTACCTTGATGTTACATGGGAAAGATTTAAATATAAGATTTAAGGACACCAAAAACGTATGAGAACGGTAGCATATACATTACACTTACTTTTGATAGATGTTAGAGAAATAAAGTTTGTTTTTCAATTGACATTTTTAATATTATAGATTTAGAAACACACTAAAAAAAACTTGCGTGTCGACGCGGTTATTCACCTAGTACTCTTAACAACTTCTAATGTATCCCAAATAATTCTTCTCAACCTCCAATAAACCCCTCTGAAAAACACAGCTCTTGTCCTCAAGCTCGTTCCACCACCACTTCATCGTTCTGACACAATTGTAGCTTGCAAGGAACCAATCTGCAAGCTAATACATGTATTTATGCCACGCCAATAGCAATCACGTTCCAACAACTCCATGAGGTTGGTCTTTTTGAGGCCCAAACCCGCCACAACTTGTTGCAGCAACGTTTCCCACCTCATAACAACATGTAAATGGTGAGGTTGGTCTTTTTGAGGCCCAAACCAGCCATGACTTGTAAAACCAGAAGGTAAATCAGCAAAAACCACGCAAGGTTGTGATTGAAAATTTGAAATCGATCTAACGACCCAGTGGAACAGGTTCAGGTTGCCATTTGTAAATCCTCACCACTTGAAATCTCCGTTTTCTGAGGTTGTATAACATGATCTGTGGCCAAGATTGACACTATATCCTTCTGTGATGCATTGTCCAGACTCAAATCAGACAATTCCAAGTACTTGAGCTTCATTATTTCATCATTTTTCTGTCCCAGTGATCCCTTTCGTTGCATCAGTTCATTCTCAACTAGCAATTTCTCCTCCTGGACAACTTACTTTGAAACCACTGCAGATGATTCTTCTTTAAACAATAACTTTTTGTTTGTCAATGTGCGTTGCTCTGACCTGATCTTAAACTTGAATCTTCATGATTTGGGAAATTTATATTTCTTCAATAATCGATGCAACCGGTTTCCTCTATGAGGCAATATATCAAAGAGTTCATGTGCAAACAGTTTAGCTTTCAACACATGTTGACGTCTCACAATTTCCAGCCCCGTCGTTCACATTGTTGGATATAGGTTGAGCACCCTTATCTAAAGTCCTTCCCCAAATTGAGATCAACCTATGAAACCCACTAAGTGATAAAACCCATAAAATTTGGCCGAAAGTAACTCACCAAAAGAAACAAAGGTTTAAATCAAATCATGGTTAATGTCTCATTTTCTTTATAAATAGAGAAGGCACCACATGGAGAAGGGGCATTCATTTTTTATTCACAAGAGTTGAGAAGCTCTACTAAAAGCTCTCTGACATGAGCTATGGCATAAGATCTCTTGATTTCCTTCTCTTCTCATTTCAGCTCATCACCTAGATCCAGCTCGTCGACCAGACAGCTTCCCTACCTGCTAGGTCGT